TGAATAGTCAAGTCCAAGAGCTGCTAGATAATGGCATTATTCGACCTTCACGGTCACCTTATAACTCACCAGTATGGATAGTTCCTAAGAAACTAGATGCATCCGGTGAAAGGAAATTTCGAATGGTAATAGACTACAGAAAACTCAATAAAGCCACTATAGCAGACAAATACCCCATCCCCGAGATTAACGAGGTATTAGCCCAACTCGGAAACAATAATCTCTTTTTTGTCCTCGACCTTAAGAGTGGACTTAATCAAATCCCGCTGAAAACGTCCGATATACCGAAAACAGCCTTCTCCGTGAACAACGGAAAATACGAGTTAACACGACTCCCATTCGGCTTAAAAAACGCACCATCCATTTTCCAACGTGCGCTCGATGATATTCACAGAGAACATATCGGTAAAATCTGTTACTGGAATCACATACAAAAAATTGATGGACAACGAAAAGTCGCTGTATTCGGAAACTATAACCTTCATGCTTAAGGATCAGTTAGATATCCAAATCTATAATGCTCCCCCTTACAAAAGTTCAGTTAACGGACAAGTGGAAAGATCCCCTTCCACCTTATCCGAAATAACGAGATGTTTAAAAAATAACCGGAAGCAGAACAATTTTAAAGAACTACTGGATGGAGCAGTATATGAGTATAACTCATCGATACATTCAGTTACCAATAAGAGACCTTTGGATGTATTTTTTGGAAGGAATATTACAACAGACCCGGAATGTTGCGAAAGATCCAGACAGAACATAGAAAGAATCAGGACAAAACAGGCAACAGACTTGGAGCATCATAACAAAGCACGTAAAAAATTACAAGACTACAATAACGGTCTGGACATCCTTGTCAGACATGTCAGTAGCGCCACGCGCACTCATTTTTCCTATGCGTGTACACACATACATTCAAATGCGTGTATTCTTTTCTATTCCAAGAATCGAAATTGCTATTCAATTCTGCTTGAATTATCAGTTGCTACTCAACTTCAAATTTGCAACTCTTCTTGTAAGAGGTATAGTGGCTGCGTTGGTAGAGGCGTCGCTCGTTAGAGTTTAGGCTTGGATTCAATCCTCGCTGCGACAAATTTTTTTTATTGTTTTTTTTTTTTTTTGAATTAGTGTTGGTGTTGGTAGAGTTGGTGCACGTTGCGCAAACAGTCCAGGTTGGACATCTGGTCTTGCAATGTCGTTTTTAATTTGTTTTCTATTTTTTTTGAATATTCGATACGAACTACGGAAAATATTAAACTCAGAGGACGAGGATCAGGGTATCTCCTAGTTGGGCACCCCGACTAGAGCTATCTTACTTGTTTATTTTAACTTACACTTCATGGAGAAGAGTCACAGCAACGACAACGGCAACCAGAACAAAAAGAAGAAGACGAAATTGAAGAAGAAGCACATCCAATAGATGTGTATGTACGTGTATGGCAAGCCATCATCGTCCACAATTCCGGGCCGTTGATTTCGCTGTTTGCGAGGTTGGGCAGCCCACATGAGTTGCCACAAAGCAGCGACGCAGTCGCGACAACAAAAATGAAATGAAGTGAAATTGAATCAAAGGCATCCATCGGGACTGTCGACGTTCGAGCGCAACGCATGGAAATAGACACAGTCGCCGTTCTAAGGCACACAGGAGATCGTCCATGGCAGTCATTCTAGCCAGTTCCGGGGGCAACGACTACGACACCGACATCGTCAATGATGATGTTTACAGTTGAGCTGCAGTGCGAAGCGTAGCTCCCCACAGCTTCCATTCGAGTCCCTCTCTAGCACCTCTTTCCTAGCAAACTAACTGGTTTGTATGCCGTGCGTTCATGTGTGCACACACCTTCACATCCACCACCTACACCATGACCACCTGCTGCCCCCTTTTGTTCCATGCATAACCTTTTTCAGCAGTCGCTGTTTGTGTGTCTCCCCTAGTCGCAGCCGAAAAGTGAGTTTCCCTGACTTTGTGGTCGCACAAGATAGTTTAGTTATGGTTACTGTGCGGTCGCAGCGGAAGCAGAGGATGTCGCGAATTTGCCACAAATATGCCATAACTATGACGAGAATTTGAACAGCTTCGATTGCGGGCATGCTTCTCGCATTCTTGTTACAAGACATCAAAAAGTTATGAGGAATCTCATTATATAATAAACATGAATGAAAATCGATGACCTCTTCCTGATTTAAACTGACTGAATTGACCCATGGCAAGTTGACTAAAGACACAAAATATTGGCAGACAGAAAGCTTTCTGTAAATGTCTGACCGTGGAGGATATAACTCATCGTATATATACGTATATGAAATAAATGTAACTAGAAAACTTGTAGAAAATACTATATTCAGAATTTAGTTTCAGTTTGGGAATATATAGTATTTAGGAAATAAGCTTTATAATATAAACAACCCTTCCATGAATGTGCTTCCTAATTTATTTTAATAAATCTCAGTTTTAGTGTGTTACATATTTTCAAACTTGTGTACGAGTTGCCATGACTTTTGTCGCTCTCTAAAAATCATTTTGGTATACTACAAGCCTTAAGGCTGCCTTGTTTACTTTAGATTAGGATCAATAGCAGACTTCTTCTAGTCGATCTTTCATATGCTAGTGGATCGCATTTTACACTTAGGTTCTTCTGTAGCACTCTCAAATCTGTTTACTTTAAAATCTTTCTTCATATCTTCAGTTATTTTAGTGCATCTTAAATCCTAAATTTAGTTAGAGTCAACACTTAAGTATAAGCAAATATCAGACACTTCGCACTATGGCGGGTTCTTCCATCGCTCTTATCCCGTGTATGGTTACAAAGATTACAGGGTATTTTTTTCGTAGCTTAAATTTGATATAAGTTTGCTTCTGACAGCACAATTATTGAATTTTAATTGGAAAAGCCTGACTTTTGTATTTTTTGGCAGCACTCTCAATCATTACCTCGCAACTCTTGGCCGCAGCCAGGCAGGATTTTCATGAATTGAACAAAAATATTCAGCTATTGGCTAGCTTCTGAATATTTCGCCATAAAATATGTAACTGCAACTTTGAGGGCGTTGGGGGCAGTTCTAGGAAGCTGTTGCACGCACTCAACGCGTGTTTTCGTGGAACCTGAATGTATGAAAGCCAAGTTCGACCCTTTTCGCATTGCTGAAATGGCCCGTTAAGGATACGCCCAGTAGTCGAGCAAATCATGCTCGACATGGCTCCAGAACTGCCTGCTGCTCGCACAATTTGAAAGCTGACGCTCCACCTGCCCTCCGGGCATGGTGCTACATATCTCAACAGGTAACCGAAATGCCGCCCTCCTGCACCACCACGCACACCTTGCCTGGTCATGCAAATGGCAAATCGCTTTGTTCGAACTGGTAGGGCGGAGATGGGGGACTAGGAGGAGCTGTGATGTGAGCTGTGGGGATGGCTTGTGGTCTGAGGTGCTCTGATTCGAATGAAATGCCACTAAAGGACGCAATTGAGAGAACAACAAGCTTAACAAGCTGCCTCTGCCTGGAGCATTCAATGTGCTCGCAAGTCCGTGCACAGGTTTCCCACGATTATATTCGGGGCAGATGGGGGCGGAGCGTGGCGCCACGACTTGTGGCCCACACATTGCACGCCAATTGAACAATGAAATGTGTCATTTTTGGCGTCTCTTTTGGGTGCGGCTCTAATTGTGCTTGTAAATCATAAATCAACAGTTAAATTATTTCATTGTAAATAACACCCGCACACAGGCAGCAGCGTGGCTGTGAGTTATTATCGATTGGGCTGGCAGCAGACCTTGAAAATGGCAGCTCAATGACGAAACCCTAACGGACCCCGATGGCAACAGAGCCCAGAAGCATTCATCGGCTGTCAAAGTTAAGTGGATAGCGAAAGGCGAAAGGCGAACGCCTCGAACTGCATTTGCTTTAAATTTATGAACTTGACTTTTGGTTAGCTGAATCATACCCAGTCCGCCCAAGGGCCTGGCGCTGGCCAATCGATCAGGCACGAAAGCCGGCCCCAAAGGCTTGCATGACTACAGGAAATTACCATAATTTCAATTTAAGAAATTAAACGAATTTTGCTAAAACGAAAAGAGCCTCGCAATGGCCTCAGCGTGGCTCGGCTCAGCCTGGCATGCCAACAGCCAACAGCTAACACCATCTGGCCAAGGCTTTAATCATAAAATTGATTCTCAAATATAATAAAAAAAAAAATTGCCAACACTTCAAGCATTTGAAATATGAGCTTGAATTACCAAATTCTTTTAGCCAACTGCTTTTGGTTAAGTCTTGGCACATGATATTTGAGCAGAGACTGATAAATTTTCGATGTAACGGAAATTAGAAATGAATTTGTGATTTGTTCAGTCGACCCTCGTATAATATAGTACTGAAACTATGTGTTCTATATATAAGACCAATATAGGAAGTCTACGCGATCAAACAGGCAGACGAAAGCAAAGGACTAGTCATGTGTGTTTCTTTTAGAGTTACAGAAGCGTAAATCAGAAGAATGTAAAATAAATATATTTTTTAATCAATGAAACGATATTTTTGCATGGCATATTTTATGACATTATTAATTAAATATAGTATTGGCTATGTAGTTGCAATGACTGGCGCGAGATCGAACATGCCCACTGCTGCCTAAATGGCTTCAGGGTATAAAGCATAAGGAAGATCTCCAGCTAAAATTGAGCGGTTTTTCATAAATTAGTTTCGTATATTAATTGGGTTTTCTTATACCTATATCTACTCCATATCAAACTTAATTTAAAGTTTCATCAAAGAAGCGGGCAAAGAGCTGCCAACCTCTTCTAAAAGCAGCCAGAGTGTCAAAAAGGATAAGCAGCCTGCATAAGCAACTCCTAACACGAGTTAGCCGTTGGCAACACTGTTCACTGCCAATGAACACGTTCAGCAGTTGAATTTGGCTAACGATTTCAAAACAAGCGATATATTCTTAAGATAAATAATTTCACATTAATAAGGCGCATATGAAACTATATTAAGCCGAACTATTTTGTATAGAAGAAACTTGTCTGAAACTCTTATGAAACGTCAGAGTTGAATGCAGCCAATGCCACGTGGGCAGCTCTTCAGACACACACACACACACATTTGCAGAAGCTTCAAAGCATTTATATGAATTCGAATCAAAGCGATCCGCTGCTGCAGGTGGCCAAATGTGAGATGTGCCCCCAGAAGGTGACAAACTTTGTGGTAGGCCTCTGTGAGCGCTGCGTGGCAATTTGGACGAGCAAACGGACGATGGAGACGATGCACATAACGATTGACCATGTGAAGGCGGCGATTGTTAGCATGAGCCAGAGCAAGACAAGGCATCAGAACATGAGCGCTGTGTTCCGACGCGTCATCGACGAGGAGCACAGGCGGCGCAAACTGAAAGTTGATCTCTTTCAAAAGCTGCGCGAGAAGTTTCAAGATGGCGTTCTGCTGCCTGAAGTCGAGGAATACTGCGAGAGTACGAAAATCGATGTGGACGAACATAATTATGAGTTGGTGCTGCCCGGCGTGGAGATGGAGCAGCTGGAGGACCTCAAGCTGCCCAAAGCTCTGCTCAATTAGCATATAGTAAACTATTTTAAGGACGTATCGCTGTGTGCCAGGAGGATATTATCTGCTCATTACAAATCGATTATTGTCATCTATTAGCATGGCTATCCTTTTGTTCTACGCACCGCCAGTAATTGATAGTTTTCGGTTTCTGTTTTTGTTTCTGTGAGTTTGTGCTGCCATAAATTGTGCTGCATCGATGCAGAACGATGGACGATAGCCGCTTCGAAAAGCAATTGAAGCAAAGTGATTGCCACAGCCTGTTTGAGGTCCTTGGGGGACCCATGAACATTTCGGTAATGAAAATGTTTATTCAAATTTGCGTCATTGCCTGTGTTTATCCGAAACAAATATCAATCTACATAAATAAGCGCTACCGACTACATGCATATAGGCACATATATATATATATATATATATATATATATCTATATATATATATGGTCTTCAAGTGCATATGTATTGGGCCTGTCATTGTTCGACAATTTGTTTAATGACAAAACTAATAAATCAAATGTTTTTGCCTTTGTCCATTACATTCAATTTGGATTGTTCGAGGCAAGGCTGACGTCATGAGCCATCATTAGCTTGAATATGGCTGAAATGTCGTGGAGGCGTCAATTGTTAAAGCGCTGCATAGATGGCGCCACCACCCGATAGATCGATAACTCCATCGATTAAACAAGATCAAGCCAGCAGCAAGTCTCAAATAACAGTTGAGCCCGAGTCCGCTGCAAGCGAGCTTCAATACAGGCAAAGAATATCATAAGTAAATAAAACTTTATTAATTATTTAGAAATTATTAATATGTAGAAGTTATTCATAAATAATTTATTATGAAAGAAAAGTGCAATAGATAACAGTAAATAACAAAGTTATTGTACACAAAGCGAATTACAAAGTGAATTCTCAGAAGAACATGTGATCATAGCAGGCATTGTGTTACCCTATATTATATCAGGGAGAGAGTGAGAGAGTGGGTATATTCATTTATCGAGCACTTTATTTCGTTTACTCTGTGATTAAATCTGCTATATTTCTCGTTATATGTAATCAATAGATGGACTGTCTTCAGCTCTTCTCTCACACCGCATAGTTTCTTATATTGAAATCTCTTAGAGATCTTGTTGATTTTCATAAAATGCTAAATTTTATGGTAAATCGAGTCCGTTAGAAGCGCGATTCTCTTTTCTGTTCTTCTTTTACTTGATTTCATATAATATAGTTTCTCATATTTATATTACATATAAGCTTCAACTGAAAGTGTATTAAAATCTCTTAATATATTATGTAGTTGTAATTGACTTTGTCGATAGATTTAGTTGATTAATATTTGAGGTTTTTTCGAACAAAGCATGAGGTAATCAGACTGCGTATATCTTATCTCCAATTATGTTCTTTTTACGGAAAAAATGAACGAATTCACATATTTTACTACATCTAGGACATTCTGGTCGAGTGTTTCAAACAAGAATTTCTCTTCACTAATTCTTTCTCAGCTTCCCTTCTCTTATATAATCGTGTAACTGCATAGATCTAGTTGATTCCTGTATATAAAATAGCAATAGTTCAGAAAAAGGGCATCAGCTAGTCGAGTTGCTTAGAACAATCACTTCTCTTACCTCCCAACTTTCAGTATCTTTACTATTATATTAAAAGTGTTGCATACTTTTTTGGTTGTCTAACGATTTCTAAGCTTTAAAGGTTTTAAAGGGGAACGAGCTATAAAAAGCGCAACAGATGTAAGAATTGTCAGCTACTTCCACTGCCGATTCATAGTGTTTGACAGGTAATAAAGAAATCCAGTGCAACTAGAGTTCTGCCTCTTGAAGCTTACATTCAGTGTTGGGCAACGTAAGGCAATAAAAAGCATGCGAGTGAACATAAATTGATGCATGTTGCAAATAAAAGGAGTGAAATGCGAGGACGAGGACACAGCTGTTAGCTGTGAACTGACTGTTTGGGATCGTAATTAAAGCTAACTTGGGCCAACGAAGAGAAATGATTGCAGCCAACAAGCAACGACGGCAACGACAACAACAGCACGGGGCAAGGCACAGACTGTGGCAGCAGCTGTTATTTTTCAGTATTGCACACTTGACTTTTATTTGAACTTGCATAGATACATATGTGTGCAAGAGGAGCAGATGAAGGGTCCTCCTGCCTCTTCGCAGACTACAGTCAAGTTGCGCGCTGCCATTTGGACCACACTTTTGGTTACCTTTGTAAAAGTTTCTTGTGTGCTTTGCATTTTGTTTTTTACTTTTTCTGTTTTTCTGTCAGGGCAAGCTGCCAAATTGGCCTAATGGCGTTAATGCGAATACGAGCAGCAGCCAGCAGGCTGACATCAAAGGTCATTATACAGGCCATCAGCGGCTGCAGTTGCCAAGCCATTTTTCAGAAAATTCTGGCCAGTTATATTAGACTGCAGCTCGTTGAGTGTTCAAATGCAAATGCAAATGTAAATGCCAAGCACTTAGAAGTTTTTGTTGCCAATTTGCCAAAGGTAAACAAACGAAATGCGTTCAGATTCAGCTTTAAAGTCAATTTTCAGTGTTGCTTAGCGCTGAACAATTACTTTCTTAACACTCTTTGCTGTTTAGTAGTCTGTTAATCAACACTGTTTTCATACTGTTAGCATGCTGCTAAAACGTTAAGGTTATGGCACCGTTTTCCATTTGCTCCAAGTGCAAGGCCAGAACTCGTAAGGTTATCAAAGACCCCGTCACTTTGAAGGACATTTACTTGTGCCCAGTAAGCATACAGTGCATAAAGACAGAGCTCCATTTAAATAATAAACACATTTATATTCAGAAATGCTGCAAGGCTAAAAATGAAGCGCAGAATATTGAGAACGAACAGAACAAAGCGGCGCTGCTCTGCAGCCAGCAACAAGAGCAGCCTGCGCGTGAGCTGGCCAAGCCCATGCCGCAGCCCAAGCTAGTTGCACCACCAAAGCTGCCCCTGGCCGCTGCCACAGCTGCCACAGTCAACAGCTACACTCGCAAATGTACGCCGCCCGTAATGCAGACGGTTCTCATAAAAGGGCGTAAATATATTGCGATCACTGCAACGGCCTCCGACAATTAGCGAAGCAAACAAGTCATTAAACACACAAAAGGGCAAGTTGGTTTGCGTCTCTGCTATGGTGCGTGTACTCACTAAGTGCCAATCGCAGGAAAGTATATACATATTTAAATGTAAAATAAACCGAAAATATCTCTATTAAACATAACAGCATTTCGAATGTGCCACAAATAAATTCAATAAAATATTTATAAACACATGAATTAATAGATGAATATGTTTACATAATGTTTTCAAATTAAAGCAGTTTGCATACAAGTGAAAGTGCTTTAGCTGCTGACGGCTGACTAAGAGATACCCTACACAGAGATATTGCGTCAATCATTCTTTACTTCTTGTATACATACACAAATATACATGGAATAACGTTGTCTCTAGATGTGCGCCTTTATGACTGAACAATGTGTGAATATAGCAAAGTCAAGAAGGTTGGAAAAGCTTTGCAGAAACTGAACTACCGCTCATCGATCGCCATAAATTCGCGATAGCTTAAGTTAGTTTTGAGCGATTACGCAGAGTGGCATAAAGAGATATCGCCGAATTGAGTAAAAAGTACCGATACTTATGACAATAAACAATATATTTAGCAAGCGGTAAAGATTATTAAGAAGCCAATATACCTTTTTAGCCATATTCAATAAGTTCAGGTTGCAAAAAAAAATTGCCCAGCAATATAATTAAGCATTTTGTGCGCCAAACTTAACAATTTACATAAATTAATTAAAAATACATTGCGTGACGCATTGTGCAATATAAGCAGCTACATAAACAAGCTAAAAGAATGTGATGCATAAATTTGTGGAGCAATGTTTATTTATAAATCTGCTGCCGTTGCATTTTGCAACATCTATTGTTGTTGCTATCGCTAGTGTTGTTGTTGTTGCTGTTGTTAAGGATATGCGTGCTGGTGCGGCGTTTATTTACGTCACAATTTCGCTTCCGCTTTAGAGCTGCAACTGCAACTGCAACACTGTGGCTAACTCGATTTGCTGTTTCTCTTTAGATGGCTGCGTGATTTTCTAACATTTCCCACAATTTTCCATGCTCATAAAAGTTTTTTAATGGCATTTCCATAATCAGATTTAAAACGGCAGCAGCGTCAAGGCTCGAATGCGTACGCCGATATGTGAATCATGAAATTGAATTTCAATTAACTTGTTTTTCCGCATTTAATATCGAATCGCTGGAAACTGTTTTAAATTGCAAGTGATTTAATACTTTTCTATTGTTTTCACAATTTGATTCGATTTAAACAAATAATTTCCATTAGTTTTTGATTTATATTCCAACTTTCCGCCTAGTTTATTGTTAGCTACTGCGAACTTCCACCTGTTCTCAGGTCCTTCAAAGTTTGACATGTCAATGCCGCATGTGGTGGGTGTGTGTATGATACGTGCATATGTATGCACATATTTACAACAATTGTCAAAATCAAATTCAAAATCAATGTTAAGACCTTGTAACCTTCATCGGGGCTTTATTTGGGTTTTGGCGATTCGATTTTCCGACGAACTGCAAAAAAGTTGAGCGCCTGAAACTATGCAACGAATGCTTTTAAGGTGCACCTCTCACACCTGCGGCAAGTAAAAGCCCAGGGCAATCAACCAACATGCAAACAAGGACCTCAGCTGGGTGCCTAGCGACAATTAAGGTCGTACCGCCCCAAATAGAGCTTCTGGCAGGTTCCGCCTCAGCTGTGTGTCGTTGTCGTTGTCATTGTTGTCACTGTTTCGTACATGTTTTGACTGCTTTATTTAATTTCTGTCACGCGATGGCTATGGAAATTGTAGGCCCAAATCGAACTTGACCAGGTCGCATTAGGGCAGACCGTTTCTGTTTTTTTAAACTGATTTTCGACTAAATGCAAAACTCACGTGTCAACTTTATAACGCATTTACCATAATTGAAGTGCTTCACGCGACATTCAATGTTCAATGTTTGTTGTGCTGTTGCTGTTGTCCTGCTACCCTGATGCCCATCCCACATATATACATATAGAGCTTACTCAGTTTCCAAAACCCAGTGTCCCAATGGCAGCTGGTCAAACATCCATAGACCATTTAGCACCCGCAGATTGCATGCTCATTAGTGCCAGCATTAAGTTTTTTCTGTTTTTCTATATCAGGCACTCATAGAAGGTATGAACATATTTGTCATAGATCATGTAACTAATAATTCAGCTTAGTTATCATTTAGTTAATTTAGCAAAACATTAAACATTAAAAGAAAATCTGTTAAGTCTTTAGTTAACAGATTTTCTTTTGTATTTTACTGTGCATAACAGAGCCAAAATTATTGGTCATTAAATTTAATATATTCTGTACACCAAGTTTTGTTCTTGAAAACATATTGAAATATTTTAAAATATTTATTTATACTAATTAAATGATATTACAAAATATCAATAAAAACTTGATTCAAAATGTACTGTCTATCTTACATAGTAAAGGGTATATCAAATTCGTTGTCGCCCAATATTATTTGCCGTTAAAGCTTTTATTGTACTTTATTTGTGCCTACGTTTTGTTCTTCTATTCAGTGGCTATTGCGCTGCGCCTTATTCGCTGTAGCATAGAATGATAATGACGTACGCATCCCATTGGCACGCCTCACATAACGGAAGGGAGTACTCTACACTAAAGCCACTGGCCATATGTTCTGTGCAGTAACTCCGACATCGCCTGCTGCCGAGTGACCTCAATAATAATTTCGTCTAATTGCTTCGTAATTATGCCGCGCACATGCTTTTCTCGATTTGCCCGCAGTTGCTTGTTGTTAATTCACTTTCACTTTCTCGTGCTCCTTTGAGAGTTTCATTCTCTTTTGCTCTTCCTCAGCCATACGCACAAACACATGCACCCACACACATACACCGACAGGCACGCACGCAGAAAGAGTGCGGGCTGAGTGACCAGGCAAGTCGGGACCATTGTCAGTCCAACTGGTCGGCCATTTTGGTACATTATTATTTGTCTCTTTTGTTTTGCGCAATTTTTCGTCATTTGCTTCATTTTCTGTCATTAGAAGCATTTAACTTTTTGCCGTTTGCTGCCGATTTGTTTCCATTATTCATGCAGCTGCCATTCGACTTTCGCCATTCGCCATTCGCCATTCACCATTTGGGCCAACCAGCAAATTGGCCATGTGGCTAGACCAGGAGAAAAAAATTATTCTACGATTATGGTGTTTATGAAGTGGCCCAGTGCAAACAGTAAGCCAACAAGCTTGCGGTGAATATTTTTTGTTCTTTTTTTTTGTTTCTTTGTTATTATCAAGCAACACTTAAGCAATTACATACACTCATTCATAAAAGATAAGGAATTATCATAAAGATCGATTGTGGCAATGTACGTGCTATTGAAAGTAGTTTATAATCGATTTATATTAATCGCATAGCTCAGCTGCAAACAACTTAACGTGTGTTTCTTAAAACTAACAATCTCTTCTACTTTTATCTACATGTGCTCATACATAAGTATATTTGTAACCGTACAAATGTGCACAAATGTACTTAGCTTAGCAACTTATACGTCACTTCAAGTTTGTAATACCAACTTGCGTAATTTCTACTAAAGTCTACCTAAAAAGCGTATCAATGTATGTCAATGGGTTGTTGCTTTCAATTGAAGAAGTTACTGCCTGCCTGCCAGCTTGGCTACCTCAACATGTGGCACAGCCTGAAAGGCAGAGAGCTTGAAAGGGAGAGAGAGACAGAGACAGAGTAATACGGAGATAGATGGAATGCTCGCATGGTCTCATGTCATGCCAAAGTCATTTAGATATATCGCGCACACATTTTTAATGACAACTAAATACGAATGTCATTTGGCTTTGCAAATGGCGAGTGAACTGCCAAACTCTCTCCCGTCTCTCATCCTTAGACGTCTGGTAAATTGCATACAAGCGGCACAATGTGGGCGACATGGGCGCGGTCTTGTCATCAACGTGTCACAACGAGGCACAAGTTTGTCTAATACGCAAACTTTTAATTGAGTTTAAATTTGTATGAGCGAAGCAAATCAAGAAAGAAGCTGGCGCTACCTCCACCTACTACTCCTCCATCGCCTCTGCCAACCCCCAACTGCGACCACATTCATGCAGCAGCTTGCTATGAAGAATATATGAGTGCCCAAATTCCAATGTGAGTGCGAGTGCGTGTGTGTGGACGCAATTTTTGAAGTGTGTCGGTTTCAATCCTGGCAAATTGCCCATGAAATATTAAATTTACCATAATGAGACGCCATTTTTATACCTCGTAATTTGGCAAAGTTGATATGCTTATGTGTGTGTGTGATGTATGTGTGATTTTGTGCTTATTAGCACGCCCACAAAATGGGCGTTACCCGAGAATAACCCGCCAACAAGTTCGGCATAATGTAAAAGATAATACACTTATGTACATATGTGAGTAGCGGCCGCTACCATACATTGAGGTTTGCCTTTTACCTGGCGTCATGAAATTATATGCTTTTTTATGACCACCGTAGCTCGTTTTATGGTCTTACTACAACATCTTCATATAAAGTGTATATTTTGCAAAAGTTATCACATTTGCGTGCCGCAGAAAGACCGCATATGAATATTAAAGTGAAAACTGTGTTTGAACGAATTTTAAGTCTTGCATTTAAAATTTATATTTATGTACATAATTACTTAAGTACAAGGCATATGCTAATTCCCTAATCAGATATGTAGTCAACCAATTGTTTTTGCTTAGCAGCTGTTAACCGGTTAACCGCTTCGATTCAAGCCTATTGCTGCCGGAGTGCCTCTGTGTAAACATTAAGTTGGTTGCGCCTAACTTGCAGCTAGCTTAATTCGTTATGACAATAACAAATTGATGTTTGCTTGAGTTTAAGCGCAAAAGACTTTTAAAACTGTACTCAAACATGTCTACAACAGCAGCTTATCATAATGGCTATATCCTGTGTATGCTGTATTTCTTTTTATTTTGTTAATGCTAACATCTGCTAGAATGGCCTGAATAACCCAACATTGTTTCAAAATAACAAAATACAAATACATAATTAGAATAGGTACATAAATACAAATGTATATTCATTTATAAATATGTATGTATGTATATGTATGTATTTATGCAAGCAGCATGGATATTACAATGCTAATTTGCTATAGTGAAACACACTAGAGTTTGTAGGCAACGAAAATGTGACATATTGAGGGCAAAAAGCAACACCTTTCCTTATATACAGCTTGAAATGAAAAATGAGTCAATTTGCAATCGCATGCTCTTTTACCTGGGCCCCGTCACATGCCTTTAGGTTTTAATAAGAAATAATTTCCCGTCTCGGATAGTTTTACTTGAAGGGACTTCGCTTATAAAATGTCTTGCAATTCCGCATCGACAAATGACTTTCGGCTTCGTGGCACGTACGCTGGTCAGCAGCACCAGCAAATACCAACAACGCACATTAAGAGAAAGAAAGAAAAACCAACTACTACAACAACAAATACATAAATAAATAAAACGAGGAGGCACAACTGCACGATGCGCGTTTAATGTCATTTAAAGCTGCAATTACTCAGCACGCTTGCTTGTATTGTCCGCGTAACCACCGCACGGAACGGAACAGAACGAAACGGAACGCAAGCATAAAGCTACAGTCACTGTCGCACACACACATATACACATTCACAAACTGACAGTCACAGTTGCAGTTCCAAGTCTGCTTCCAAAACTCCACTTGACTCCATTTGCTTTAATGTCATTGTATGGCCGCAATTATTTTGCATGTGGCATTGTCGCTGCATGCGATGCCTATGCAAATGTATACTGGGTAGGCGACTCCTTCCGGTGCCATAAATCGGCCGTCTCGTGACGGTCTTTTATTCTATAATTAAGTAGAAGGCGCAAAGAAATTAGAAAAGTGTCCAAACACATACGAGAGGTCTTAGAATCACGTGCAAACCTGTGCCGTAAAACTTAAATAAATTTGTAGGTAGTAAGTGATCAATTAAAAATATTCGACTAATTATTTCTAATTGGCTAGTGTTAAACGGCCAACATACATATCATTAAGCAATTATTTATACACAGTTTTTATGTATTAATATAATTTATTTAATAATAAATTGTGAAAAGCTTTTGTAAAAAATTCGTAGTGGGCTCAACCGGGATTTGAACCCGGGACCTCTCGCACCCAAAGCGAGAATCATACCCCTAGACCATTGAGCCATCTGTAGTTCGATATCACAAATAATATACATATAGTGTTTACAATGGCATGGCACAACTTTCAACTAATATAGCACTTAGCTTTCAAACGTTAGCTTGAACAAAACATCTGATTGGAAAATGGACAATTTTTATATATATTTAAAATTGTCCATTTATTAAAAAACAATGTGTTTTTAACTTCTACTTTCAATACTTTGTTTTCTTTTTTGTTAATGTCTTCTAATGAAAGGTAAAAATCTGATGAGTCGCAATCGACTTCACTTCATATAATCGATTCGCTTATTTATGAATATCGCATTGTTTGCCCGATAAGTATCGAGTGATTGCCATTTCTCCCGCCAAAATTGCACGCCAATTCCACACAGCTGCAGCAGCAGTATAAATTGAAGCATAACAAACTCTGAGCTCGAATTGAGGAAACTAATATTAATTAATTCATATAGAAAATCTCACACTGCAACTATGGTAAGTGGTCCTAATGCTACAATGCGTGTAATACTTGCAATGCCAACTTATAGGATAATCCAAGTTCACCGCCGCCAAATATGCCCAGCGATGTGGTCGAGCGTCGCGAATCGCGAGCAGCAATGACTTCTCCTGTTGGCGACTTTGAGCCTTTCGAGAATGAAGATGAAATTTTGGGCGATCAAACAGTACGAAACGAGGAGGAGGATGATGGCGAGGAGCTTTTTGGCGACAATATGGAGAATGGTATGCACCTATAAATTGGTAGCAGAGTCAGCAAATTTTTGAAGAATGAATTCAATTGTTAGATTATCGCGAAATGCCTGAGCTGGATCACTATGATCCTGCCATGCTGGATGATGAGGAGGACTTCTCCGAAATGTCGCAGGGCGAGCGATTTGCAGCCGAATCAGAGATGCGTCGTCGTGATCGTGCGGCTGGTATTCATCGGGATGATCGTGATTTGGGCTTTGGTCAATCGGACGACGAGGATGATGTAGGTCCACGTGCCAAACGACGTGCGGGCGAGAAGGCAGCCGTCGGTGAAGTAGAAGACACAGAAATGATCGAATCTATAGAGAACTTGGAAGACACCAAGGGGCACTCCACCAAGGAGTGGGTAAGCATGCTGGGTCCGCGCACTGAAATCGCAAATCGTTTCCAATCATTCCTGCGCACTTTCGTTGACGATCGTGGCGCTTATACATATCGTGATCGCATTCGGCGCATGTGCGAACAAAACAAATCTTCGTTCGTGGTGGCCTACACGGATTTGGCCAACAAGGAGCATGTATTGGCTTACTTTCTGCCCGAAGCACCATTCCAGATGCTTGAAATTTTTGACAAAGTGGCCAAGGACATGGTGCTCTCCATTTTTCCCACCTACGAGCGTGTGACTACGGAAATTCACGTGCGGATCTCTGAGCTCCCGCTGATCGAAGAGCTGCGCACCTTCCGTAAGCTGCATCTCAATCAGCTCGTACGCACCTTGGGCGTAGTCACTGCCACAACGGGTGTGCTGCCACAGCTGTCGGTGATTAAGTACGATTGCGTTAAGTGCGGCTATGTGTTGGGTCCCTTTGTGCAGTCGCAGAATACGGAGGTTAAGCCGGGCTCTTGCCCCGAGTGCCAGAGCACGGGACCCTTCTCAATTAACATGGAGCAAACTTTGTATCGCAACTATCAGAAAATCACGCTACAGGAGTCGCCGGGTCGCATACCTGCCGGTCGTATACCGCGCAGCAAGGATGTCATTTTGCTCGCCGATCTGTGCGATCAATGCAAGCCAGGCGATGAGCTGGAAGTCACGGGCATCTATACGAACAACTATGACGGCTCGCTGAATACGGATCAGGGTTTCCCTGTCTTTGCAACGGTCATTATAGCCAACCATGTGGTGGTCAAAGACTCCAAACAAGTAGTGCAATCGCTGACGGATGAAGACATTGCCACCATACAGAAGCTGAGCAAAGATCCACGAATTGCCGATCGAATAATGGCATCCATGGCGCCATCAATTTATGGCCACGAATATATCAAGCGGGCTTTGGCTTTGGCTCTCTTCGGCGGCGAGTCAAAGAATCCGGGCGAGAAGCACAAGGTGCGTGGCGACATCAATATGCTCATCTGTGGTGATCCCGGTACGGCCAAGTCGCAGTTCTTGAAGTACACAGAGAAGATAGCACCACGTGCCGTTTTTACCACTGGCCAGGGAGCCAGCGCTGTGGGCTTGACCGCCTACGTGCGTCGCAATCCCGTGTCCAAGGAGTGGACACTTGAGGCGGGCGCATTGGTGCTTGCCGATCAGGGCGTCTGCCTGATAGATGAGTTCGACAAGATGAACGATCAGGATCGTACCTCCATACACGAGGCCATGGAACAACAATCGATATCCATATCAAAGGCAGGTATTGTCACCTCGCTGCAGGCCCGATGCACGGTGATTGCTGCTTCTAATCCCATTGGCGGTCGCTATGATCCCTCGATGACCTTTTCGGAAAATGTGAATCTCTCGGAACCAATTCTATCCCGTTTCGATATATTGTGCGTGGTCAAGGATGAGTTTGATCCCATGCAGGATCAGCAGCTGGCCAAATTTGTCGTGCACTCACACATGAAGCATCATCCCAGCGAAGAGGAGCAGCCTGAGTTAGAGGAACCGCAACTGAAGACTGTGGACGAGATACCACAGGATTTGCTTCGTCAATACATTGTCTATGCCAAGGAAAATATACGACCTAAACTAACAGTAAGTCCAAATCCTATTCAGGTATATAATCTGTAATTAATTTAACTCAATTTTTCTTTGTGCAGAACATTGATGAGGACAAGATTGCCAAAATGTACGCGCAGCTGCGTCAGGAATCCTTTGCCACTGGCTCGCTGCCTATTACGGTGCGTCACATTGAGAGCGTCATCCGTATGGCAGAGGCGCATGCGCGTCTGCATTTGCGCGAGAATGTGTTGGAGGCAGATGTCAGCATGGCCATACGCATGATGCTCGAGAGTTTCATCGAGGCGCAAAAGTTCAGCGTAATGAAAAAGATGCGCAACACATTCCAAAAGTATTTGGCCTTCCAGAAGGATCACTCAGAGCTGCTCTTCTTCATATTGCGTCAACTAACGCTCGATCAGCTGGCCTACATACGCTGCAAGGATGGGCCCAGCGCCACACATGTGGAGATCATGGAGCGTGACCTGCTGGAGCGTGCTAAACAGCTGGATATTAGCAATCTGAAATCATTCTACGATTCGGAACTGTTTCGATCCAATGGCTTCTCCTACGATCCCAAGCGACGCACCATTCTGCAGATTGTGGTCGATGGCGCTGCCTAAAATACAGCTACCTATTCGCCCTATTCGAAGAGTTTACCTGAACACGTTTACCTTTTTCATCTCATTTAGTATTAGAAGCGCCACGTTTAGTTTACCATTTTCATGTTTTATGTCCAATAAAAAGCTGGTTATGCAACTACGTTTTAAAGATTCTGTTTAATTAGGATTATCAACCATTTTTGTCACGAACAGGATCTACCACAGGCAATGAGTTTGAAAATTTTCTACGCTTCGTACAGCGATTTCATCCAATAGTACATCCTCTAGCTCGTCCTTAAACTCCTCTGGAAAATCCACATCTCTGATCATATCATCGTAGGTCATTTCATAGTCCTCTGAGGTGAATTCATCTTCAAATTTGGTACTCAATTCATCCGAAGCTCCATTCAAATCGCCACAAGCAATGAAAGGCACCAACCTTCGATTGACCGCCGATCCAGTTTTCCTTGCTAACAATCTGATATCATCCCTCGCCGGATTTATTATTTGTGGAATGTAGCCATTGGGCAGACGAAAGCCAATGCACACGACGAACGCTTCAATGCTTGATGGACGAGAACTGGGTGGCTTGTAGATGTGGAAATCCTTAAAGAATGTTAGCATTTGTGATTCCAGCAAACAGTTGGCATTTCCCTTGAATATCTTTGCCACAAATGTGCCACCTGTCTCCAAAACAAAGGTGGCAATGCTCAGAGCCGAGACAATCAGCTGGTTCTGCATATATTCGTCCATTTCGTGGACACCGGTTACATCCGGTGCACCATCACAGACGACAAGCTGCGCCTTTTTGTCACTCGTCTTATCAAAGTGCGCAATTATCGCATTTGCTGTGCTTTCTTTGGTTATGTCGCCCTGCAGCTGGATAACTCCTCGTATTGGCGCCATCGCTTGCAGATCAACTGCAATGATTTTCACTTCAGATTTCTGGTCGTCGGTCAAGCAGCAGTCGAAGAGTTTGCGCGAGAGCACTTGAGACCAGCTGCCGGGTGCAGCGCATAAATCAACCGCCCGTTGCACATCTGTGAATAAGTTAAGTTGAGATTCATATTATGGTGAAAGAAAACTATAAACAACTTACTGTCCAAAATGCCAAATTGTTCGTTGATGTGCATCAATTTGAATGCACTTCTCGCACGCCAGCCCTCCTCCTTGGCTTGGCGATAGTAAACATCACGTTTGTCCTTTGAGGTTTTTCCCATTGTGGCTTCGGAAATCCGCGTAATTTACTTACATGTAGCAATAAATTAAATTAACATGTCGTTAACAAAAGTTTACTCACAGAGTCTGCTTTCCTGTTATCGATTAATCCATGTGCTCTAAGTATCTGCGGGTAACTGTGACTGGCCATTGCCGGTAAGAAGTGAAAGTCAATTAAAAAAAAAACATCTGGTAAATTGATATTGATAAACATAAAAATAAATATCATAGTATATACCATATTATTAAAATGTCAATATAAAATTCTAATATATATTACTTCTGTCAAAATATGTAAGCATATGCTACGCTCATCTCTGGCAATAGCAATCAATTTTCTGCGATTACTATCGATAGTGAAATACTAAAAATCATATGGGCTGCAACTTAATGACTTGTTAAAGAAATTTAGACGTAAGTGATTATCTGGAACATCCCTGGAACATCCCTTGAAAAACTTCTATAAAAATTTTGCTCTTTCAGACAAAAACAAATAAAAACATATAGACGAAAATGTATTTAAAATCAAGCTGTTTGTCAATCGTTCTGCTCAGTTTGTTTGCAAGTGGATGGAGCTTCTTGGAGCATGACAGCTGGATAACAATTGATTTGCACCATTCCTTGACACCCGCAAGACCGGAGCACTTTTCTCATCGAGGCAATATCTCCATACCAAGTCTAAATTCGGGACTTTCGACCATTGTCCAGAATGCATTAACGGACACTGAACTTGAAAGCTTGAAGGTTCTGGCAAGCCAAAATGGTTTCTATCGCATGAGGGCAACGGTCGCATATCCCAATGGCAGTAAGCAACGTTTCTTGACCTCAAGCAAAGCGTGCAGCTTGCTGCTGGCTCAGTTCAATGACGTTCTATGGGTATCACTCGATCCCAATGGCTATGTAACGGGCATCACTACCTCTCAGGATCTAGCTCCAAAGATCACGGAATGCTCCTCCGAAAATACGCAGCAAATTAACGAGAAAAGCTTCAGCTCTGATGTTATCATTCGACATGCCGAATTGGCACCGGTACCGGATACTGGCAGCTTTATACAGAAATTCGAACGTGAGCGTGAGGCCAGGGAGCGCGGAGAGGTGCGTGACAATAGGGGCTTCTTTGCTAAATACTGGATGTACATTGTGCCCGTGGTCCTGTTGGTCTTTATTTCTGGAGCAACCAATCAGGATGCTGCCAAATAAGCATGTATATGTAAATTAGTTAAAATATTAGCTTTTCTTTTAATTTGAAATAAAGTAAAGAACAGAGCCAATTTTATTGATTTTAAGATCTTTTGATGGCAGCAAACCACCCGCACATGTAACATAGGTCCGTTTTGTAACAATAGTTAAGCAAAAATAAAAATTGTGTATGAGCTCAGCAAACCGCTAGCCACTTCGCACAACTTCTCACTTCTCTTTTGCATTTGTATGCATACATAAATAGATTCTTTGAAGAGAGCACTCGAGAGTATGCTGTATGAGTAACAGTTATGTTGTGGAACCCAACCAGAAAAAGAGAGAGCGCGTTCATCTCCCTCCATTTTCATACGAAAATTCATTAGAGAGAAGAATTAAGCAAACATACAGCGGTCATCCTCGATCGTTCTCATGTCCCATGCTTAATGTGAGCGTAAGAGCAGCTGAGCAAATACGAAGTTTTGGTGGGAAGTTTGTTCTACTTTTCCATTTAAATGTTAGTTAGTGGTGGCACTCGATTGGAGTAACACAACAAAATTCAATGTAGTTTAACTATCGTTACTCGAGCAAGTCTTCCAAGGTTGCCTGCACTATATCATATAGCTGTAATTTAAACTATTTAGAGTTTATTTTTGTACACTTTATTATTTACATTAAACTCTCCTTGTTTTAATCATCATCAGCATCAATGCCCATGGCCTTGTCAAAGTCTTCGTCGGTAATTTTTTTCTTTTTGAGTCGCTTATATAGACGAATATCGCTGGCCAGCTCATCCAGTTCCTCTTGCGTGTACTGTTGTTTCCGCTTGCGCTGTGCCCCGTCTTCGCCTGCTGCCGCTTTGCGCTTTCGCTCCTTTTTGGCTTTGCGCAACTCCTTCTTTGATTTGGCATCCAGTTTGGCCTTCTTTGTCTGATCCCAGGATTCGGTGCGTTTCATGTGCTGTTTCTGGCGACCTGGCCAAGTGCCTGTTTGCTCAAAAGTTTGCAGTTTCTGTTTGCGCACCTGTTCCTTCTGAGCATTCTTGTAGGTCAGCTTGGTGAGATCCACTTCAAAACTGGGTGCCATATAGCCATTGCCTTGGTAGTTTTTCAGTTCCGGCATGCGTGGTAGCTGCAGCAGTCCATACGCTGTGGCCATTTTCCCCAAATCCAAATCCTTCAACCGCAAAATAGCACTACACTCGTGTTTAGTGTAGGCACGCACGTGGGATACAAAAGCTCGCATGCCCTTATCGTATGCACCTTTGTCAGCGGCCTGCAGTTGATGCAGTTGCTCCACCGTTGATCTCAACTCTACTTCGTTTGCTTCAATACATTCCTCTTGAAGTTCACTCAAGTCAACTTTTTGATTAAGCTTTAGGAACTGAATGTAGGCATCCTCGCTTGGCAGCAGAAACACTAACGCATTTCCTTCGGTGCCCTGTCGAGCGGTACGTCCCACACGATGCACAAAGCTCGAAGCGTTGGACGGCGGATCCCATTGCACCACCCACTCAATTTCGGGCACATCCAAACCACGTGCCAACACATCCGTGCATAGCAGCACCGACTGTGCTTCGTTACGAAAACGTTCCACAACGCTGGCTCTCTTATTTTTCATCTTACCGTGAATGCCCAGCACTTGGCGATCGGGGAGCAAGGACGGCAGCACCTCTGCCCAGTACTCGACGCAGGCGCATGTGGGAAAAAAAACCATAACTTTGCCAGCTCTGGAGGTGGACGAGCGTAGAAATTGAAGCAGGGACAGAAACTTTTGCTCCGGTTCCACAATCTTATAGAAATTTTGAAGACGCGCTGGCGTGTTAACAGAAGCCTTCTCCTTGACGGAGACTAACACAGGATTACGCAGGCCAGCACGTATCAAGTCCGTTACTTCGGTTGTCTGGGTGGCTGAGAAGAGACCAGTACGTCGCTGACGCGGCAGATAGCCTAAAATGTTGTTGACGCTCGTTTTAAAGCCCAAGTCGAGCAGCCGATCCGCCTCGTCGAGGACCAGAAACTCCAGACTCTTTACGCGCAGCGCCAAATTTAAGTCATCACCCTTACGCTGAAACAGATCCTCCAGACGTCCGGGCGTACACACCAATATGCACGGCGACTGCTGCTTTAATGCGGCGATGTCCTCTTCAATGCTATTGCCGCCGACGATAAGCTGTTGATTCAAGTGCTCCAGTTCCTCGTGTGCCAGGAACTGGGCAAGTACCTCGGAGATTTGCCGCGCCAACTCACGGGTAGGTGATATGATTAATGCACCAATCTCCTTTGCTGCCCAGGGCGTCTCATGGTGGCGACGCTGCAGAATCTCCAGCAGAGGTACGAGAAATGCTAAAGTTTTGCCACTGCCTGTAACAGCTTCGGCGGAGACATCTTTGCGTGCCAGCAGCAATGGAATTGCTGCCGTTTGCACAGGTGTCATTAGCTTAAAGCCAAACTCCTGCAAAACCTCGAGCACGGGCTGTGAAAGCGGCGGCTTGTCCAGAGATCTCCATGTTTTGCGTGACATCGTTGTAAACAAACACACGTGCGGCGTGGTTGCCACCTGACTAAGACTGCACGCAGCCACTGTGAATTGTTATCGATAAGTATCGAGCAAGAGAAAACAGCTGATGCAAACGCCGCTAAACTCAGTTTAAATAAATAAGATTCAAAACTATATATATTAATAAAACATAAAAAGGCATTTCGAGCATTTAATTTTTAATTTAAAATACTGTAAAATATATATGCAGTTATATGTAAATACACATTTAAATAGAATTTCATTAGACACTAAATACAACTTGCCATTTCCGGGTTTATATCGTATTAGACACTCACTTAACTAATTGAAAAAATGCTCATACCTATGTAATACCGTTGTAAAGGTAAATGTATGCGTGGCCCCACATGCAGCTGGGCGATGAAAACGAAATCTATTCGCAATTGAAACGAATATATATATGTAAAATCTGTTGACATTTATAATTTTTTTTATGATTATGTTTATAGTCAAAATTTTTTGGACGTAGTTCTTATCAAAAGTTTTGCAAAAATATTTATGGAATTTCGTTTAAACTGCAAATTTTGATTTTCCAAATGGGGATTTTCTTTCAGTTTTGTTTGATTTCTTATTGATTTGTTTCTATCATTTCATAACGTTCACGATCTAGCTGATTGTGTTTTAAATGCCGGCTCCATTTGGCTTAGCACCCAGGTTCTTGTACGGCTTGCCCCCATTGCGTTCCCACTCGCGATTGAACTCATGATCCAGAATCTCAGCGCCTCGCTTGCGAGTCAGCCCAGTCTCCTCGAGGCTCAGCTCACACATCTGCATATCATCTGTGCCGGCAACGAGCAGAATTGGCGGCTTATCCGCATGCAGCTCCATTTGCCGAGCAATCCACTGACCATCAAAGTGTGCATACCACAAGCCACGCTTGGCTACACCAGAAAGAGATTAAACAAACAGAGCGATTAATAAAGGTTATTTAGAGCCCATCTTAATACTTACTATTGTCTGGCGCATTGGCTCGCATGAACGGTATGCGGAAATAGCGATGTTGTGCTGACACGATTTCTTGTATGGGCTGCACTATAGGCGGCTGCTTAAAGGCTGTAAATAAAAGTAAATACAAGTATAAATATTAGTACGAAATATATTATAAAATAAACCAGTCCCATAACATGATAATTGGCGAATCTGTATCCGAATCTGAACCTAATTAACTGTCACCCAAACGGGTAAATTTAAGGTGGGCAAGGTAAAATGAATAGACAAAAGTATAAACTGATGCTGCCAATTGCTGTGTGACACCTACCGGCCTCCATGACGCTACGTGGTGCACGCTCATTCTCATCCATGGTGGTGCGTTTGCGATTCTTTGCCTTCCAGGCATGATAGACCTTCAAGCGACGATGGAACTCTTGGCGACAGGCCTGCAATAGATAGAATAATTAATTAAAAATGCATATAGTATTATGCACGCTTTGATCTTTACCTCAAGCAATTCAATATCACAGGACGTGTTGATAGCATCGCGTAGTTCCGAGTATTTCCATTTGGATAAGTCGTACTTCTGCTTGCCAAGCGCTTGCTGTTGTGCGCGCACGTTCTCCGATCTGGGAACGTAATAGATTAATTAAATATAAAATAAATAAATAAATATATATTTATAATATGGAAAGCATGAAAATTCAAAGTGAGTTATAGATGGATTTTAATGCTTAATTTTTTTGTTTACAAAAGAGTTGTTAAGAAATGTTAAAAAGTTCTACAACTAAAAGCCAATAAATATTTCACAAATATTACAATTTGATTAGTATGAATGGTACTTTATATAAAGTGTGTTAGTAATTTGTTTAGTAGTTATAAAAAGATTTCAAAAACCAGCACCAACTCACTTATTCAAATATCGCGAAGCAATGTTTGACACAACTTGCGAAAAACTTGTTCATCAAATATAATTAAAGTAGAAAAGTAAAGTAGAAGGTAAAAGATATTTTGTTGTTGTTTTTTTGTTTTTGTTTACAATCCAATTAGTTTTTGTGTAAAAGCAGTATTTAGAAAGCAAGAGAACAATCTTTAATTCGATACAACAGTAAAACGAAAGTAATTTATAAAGTGTGCTATACCTGATCAGCTTGTTGGAACCCACGGGAGACGCGTCACTCAGACCACCACTGTGTTTGTTTGTTTGTTTTGTGTGGGGATGTGGTTGGTGTACAAGAAGTAGGCGTGTAAGGGGGGAATGGGAGAAAGTTTTGTGAGTTTTCATCAAATATACTTTTACACACAAATATATTTATAGTGATACAATTATAATTATAATAAATAAGCTAGCTCATATATACAAACAATGACTTGGCTTTGACTTCTTTAGCACAAGTCAGAAGTCTTGTAAGCTCTCACTGTCTTCCTTAACAAGTCTTACTAAAAGATAATACATAACTTCGTTCTTTTATATAAAATATTTCTCTCTTCACCTGCACCGTGTTTACAAGTGCCTAGTCCCTAATTCATACTATATATAAATCAGCTTTTATTGGGTTTCTTAACACATACTTGCGTATAACAGGTGGACTATCTTCCACCTGGCCATTGGATTCGCTGGCCAAGCGCAGCGCCAATTCGTGATCGCGTCGCTCCTGTTCGAGCTGCTGTCGGTACTTGGCATCATCCTTGGCCTCTTTTTCCAGCTGCGCCTGCAGCACCAAAGCAGCACGTCGATCCTCTTCCTCCTGGCGCAGACGCTGAGCCTCGGCCAGCTTACGTCTAGTTTCCATTTCCACTTTGCTGTAAATAAAGGTCAATGTCTAACAACTTGATTTTAAATTGGAATGTGTTCAGTACTAACAGTCGTTTGTTTTCGGCATCCTCGCGCAAACGTTGCTCCTCCGTCTCTCTGGCGCGACGTTCCGCTTCGAGAGCATCTTGTATTTTACGCAGTCGCTCCTGCTCCTCTGCCTGCTGTTGCTCCTTCAACTTGCCGTTCAAGTCAACTGTCAACTTATTCATATTGGCCATGACCACCGTGTACATGGAGTCAATTTCGCGTTGGGTAATGCGTGGAGTTTGCTATGGGCAGAGAGACAGATAGAGTAAGTAAAGCAAATTTAAGGATCAACCGTAAGAACCCCACCTTAATCTTCTTAATGGCATCATCGATCTGTTTGTATATATCGTTGACCCCGCCGACAATTTCGTCACGCCCCAGTTTAAGGCCGTTGGCAATTTCAATGGTCTTCAGTGTGTTAGTGCGTATCTTGTTGATCTTGGCTATGCCCTGGTAACGTGGACGATGTTGCTTACGTGCCAGAAATCCACGGGCAATCCTCTGAGCCGTCAACACGCACTTATTGCGGAAGATGATGCGATTGCGTACTAAACATGAACATATATCAATTGAAGCAAACATATCGAGAGTCCAAATAACTTACGTTTGATGACGCAGAGTGCGCCCAGCGTTGACTTGAGCCAGCGGGAGCGTATCAGCCACTTCTTTACCTTGGCTACAATGGCCAACATATTCTCCGGATCAGATCTCATGATGCGATCAAATTCTACAAATTTACCGGGTCGAAAGAACACTTTTGTGATGCCAAACTTAAAGTCCTTGGCGCTCAAGTTGAGCGACTGGAACATGGCCTCGCAAAACGTACGTGCCGGCAGGGAAACCAGCTCTGGCGGTAGCACAGACTTATACATGCTATAGAGATCGGCAAAGAGCACACGCGATGGAAAGCCATGCTCCATCAGCTCGAGAACCGATATGGTACCAGAGCACTTGAGCTGCGCCAGCGCCAAACAGCCCTCGAATTGGCGATCAACCATTTTGCTGTTAGGCTTGATGCAGCGTATAAAATTGGTGCCCTGGGATGTACAATAAATGAATAATCTGAAAGTTGTTTGGCTCTGGGGGTTTTCCACTTACATTCTGCTCGAGCTTTTCCATGAGCTCGCCCAGCTGTGTCTTGAACTTGGAGCCAACGGATATGAAGTTGAGTTTGCCGCGCACGGAGGTGTTGCTGCCTGATGGGAAAAGCAGCTTGAGCAGCGGATTCTCGCACTCCTGCACCAGGCACTCGAGCGATGCATGCAGTGCATCATTGTTCTTCTCAATGAACTGTTCCGTATTGTAGCAAACGGCGCCAGCGAAGTGACGTACGAGGAAACCCTCTTCATCACGCAGCGTGCGATGCGCCTTGAGACGCGATGAACGTGGAAGACCCAGACGATAATGATTGGCCCACGACTTGTGCACCTCGGCAGTGAAATGAGCTGGCGACGACTTGGGCAACTTGGACTCCTCGTCCAGCAATGTAAAGATACCATTCGACTTTGCTTCGATCAGTTCGATGATGTCCTGGTTGTCCGTGAAGGTGATCTCCGGCACGTTAAGACCCTCACGCTTGTACAGCTCCTGCTCGTTCTTTAGAATGTTGTCGTTGAAGAACTTTTGCAACTTCTCGTTGCAGTAGTTGATGCAAAACTGTTCAAATGAGTTGACTGTAAAGTACTCAAAGCCGGCTATATCCAGGACGCCGATGTAAAAGTTGGATGCCTGGAAGGGAATGCTCTGATTGATCAGAGCCACAATGCGATCGAAGAGACGACTGTAAATAGCCTTGGCCAAGGCATCGCGTGCATTGTTCGCCTCGTAGATCTTCAGAGGAACCCTGCAAATGGATCAAGTTACAACGAAACGAACTTGCACTTGATAAATTATAGCTTACATGATAACCGTGCCCTTAAAGCCGCCGCCCTTGCTCTGCATGACGCGCGACACCAGAGCCGTACGCAGTTCAGCCGGGTCGACGCCCAGCAGGCCGCTTGTGATATGAAGCGAGTTCTCCGATGCCGCCGCCACTTGACAGCCGCCACGCACATCATCGGGTATTTCCTCGAAGTTGATGTTGCCTAGGTGCAAGACAGCTGCCACTAGAGTGTAGATGCCCATTTTATCCGTATCGGAGAGACCCAGACGACTCAGAGCCTCATCCAGATTGTGAAAGTGTTGGTAGTCATCGATAATGGGATCCTTGAGCGGACCCTTCT